TATGGTATGAATTATTATATTGGGTGGTTGTATTAGCTATGGCATCTATTTCCTTACAAGTTCTTAGTTCCAATACAAATTCAAGATGAAGTGGCTATATTCCTTGCATTTGTATTTTGGCAAATAAACTTATAATTCCTTATCAATGGATAGACTTATAATTGTTGATAGGAACCGACTTGAATTATTTGAAATTTGTATTGAGGGTATTTTTTTTTTTTTTTTTTTTTTTTAAGAGTAGTTTTCTTCCTTCTTGTGATAATGTTGTATAAGTATGGTTGTTTCAAGCAATTTTGCAAGCTCTAATTGTGTATGGCAATTACAAATGTGGTTTTAATTGTTGAAGCAATAGCAGTATCAAATAAGAAGATAGTTATAATCAATTAGAATTATAGCTTTAGTTTAAGTTTGTTTCTTATAGATTGTGATTTATAGCACTCATTCTACTCTAGAATTGAAGACTAGATAGAATCTTAGGTCAACTACCTTCATATTCGCAATGTCTATCCCAAGTAGCTTTCATATCTTTAGAGAAATTTTTGAATTGTTCCTTGGAATTCATTCAAGACTTATTTTGATGGAACCCAAGTGAGAATTTTTATGCTCATCAACTTCTCATTATCTAAGCAACCTTGTTCCAAGAAGGGATCAAAGTCTTGGACCCATTTTTGAAAGATACATAGCCCTTGTATCTATCTATATGAGATTCCCAGCAATAGATTTGTCAATATTTTGTGTTATTAATTTTAATCAAAAAGAATCCTTTACCTAGATTGCAACTCAATGTCAATGTATCTTAAACCTTGTTTTATGCATTGTATTAATTATTATCAAAGTTGGATATCTAAAGGCTTACCTCCCATGAAGCAAGGGTGGCAACAAAGTTGGAGAGAAAGTCCATCTCTTATTTAACCATTGCTTAATTCATAAGGATGACATGGTTGGTGTCCTGTTGTAAAAACCCAACATAGTTGCTAGAGTACTCTTCAGATAAATCCTCACATGGTTGAACCTTGGTTAGATGGAGCACCCCCATTGAAATTGTTTGCTCTACAAAGATGTTGGAGAAGGCTTCTTTCACACCCACAATTCTATCCCTTGACTCTACCAATTGTGTCCGTCTAGCTTCCAACTGCATATAGTTATATTCCTCTGTTTGGATCTCTTCCCTGACAAGCTCTGTCTATAAAGCTATTACACCTGTACAAATGCTCAACAATAAATAAAACTTATATTAAAAACAAAACAAAACAAACAAGAAATAAAAAAGAAACAACAACTGCATGGCCACATGCCAACATCCCTAATTCCACCACTCTTTGGTTCTCTCGAGATTTCAGCAAGATGTGTATCTCAAGGAAACTTAGCAATAATATTATTGCCATACAACTAGCAATTGAATCCTGTGAGCTCTTGCAAAGCAAATTGAGGCAGCAGTTGTTGCACACAGAGTGTGCACAAGGCAACCCGTGAGTGTGGCAGACTGTTCCACTTAGTCTCCCTAATTGGGATTTTCAGAGCCCATCCTCACTCTTCCTTGCTGAATGCTCCATTCCACTGCTCCTTTGTATTTTCATCTTTTCTCAAACCTCAAGATTTTAATTTTAGTTTTTTTCCCTTGTATTATAGATTGTATAGTCCTAACAAAACACAATAACAGAAAAGGACAGAAATTCTTGTAACAATAACCTAAATTTTTTAAAAAAAATCTAAAAATGATGTGTGAATTTTGTGCTACTCAATGTTAATTTCTAGAAGCCATGGAATTATATTATTTTGTGTTGTATTATCATTGTTTCTATGTGCAAAATTATATTTTATCTTTTTCATCTAAAGGATGGATAATAACATGGTGTCACAGCATCAGATTTTGCTATTTAAAATTCATGGGATGAAGCAAATGTCAAAGGGAAAAATGAGGGTCAACTTGCCGAGGCAATAGTTCCAATCCTTGGGAACATTGCCAACAGATGCGGCAGCTTGACATGTAGAGCTCTTTGACTTCTATAGAATCCTTGCAGTCTTCAAAAAAACAAAAAAATATAATTCTTCTATTTTATTTTTTAATACATAACCTACAAGTTGTTTTTAGTTTTTATTTTAGCTGAATGCAGTTCCACAATGATTCTACAAATCCAGGAACAAAGATCTCAACCCTTCAAAATAAGGGCATAGAGAATAGAGCCTTTTGGCTTTTTCACACAAACCAAATTCCTGCAACATCTTGTATCTTCTAGTGTAGGCAAAGGAAAAAAGAAAAAAGAAAACCACCTCCATTAACCAAAATTATCAAACACCAACTTCTCAAAAGAATTTTAAAGCTATTCATTCATTTTGGGTTTTTAAATGAGCACTGACCAATATTTCAATTTGTCAGAGGGAGGACAACACCTTCTACCCATATTCCAGCATAATAATAATAATAAGAATAATAATCAGTTTTTATCAATTCAGACTGAAGAAGAAGGAAAAATGATCACCACCACCATGTGACCACCTTGTATCCTCCTCCTCCTCCTCCTCCTCCTCCTCCTTTGGGAGGGAGGGAGACTGACTTTGGATTCTCTCTCTTTCTCTTTCTCTGTTTGTGTGAGTTCAGCAGCCATGCCAAACCTGCAAATTCTCAAATGAGACTTTCCATGGACAGAAAAACTCACAGAGCTACAACACTTGCAGGCACAGGCACACACATACAAACACACATGCATACACTGGCAGTGGCATTACAAGGGTACAGGTAGGGCAGCAGCAAGAGGGTGGAGGAGGATAATATAGGGGTTAGGGTAGCATAGGGTACAACCACCACCACTTCCACACACAATCATCTACTGTTACTGCAACTATTGGCAGGTGAAGGGGCAGGCAGGTAGGCACACAGGCAGGCAGGAAGGCATGCAGAAGGAGTAGTAGGAGTAGTAGAAGTCCTTCCTTCTTCCTCTTTGGCCCTGGTTTCCTGGCTTCCCCTTCTTTGCTGCTGCTGCTGTTTCCTCAACTGAGATGATGATGATGATGATGATGAACAGTGCAGAGGGAGCTTAACTTTCTGGCTTGGCTTGCTTCTGGAGCTCATGCTGCTAGATCATCACCCATCAATAGCCCCCCCCCCCCCCTCGTCCCCTACTCCTACTCCTACTACTCCTGCTTCTATTTTCTTTCTGACATTCAACACGACCTGCTCAAAGGCACTGGTCCCCCGGCAAGAGACCAGCAACCTCCCTCTCCCCCCTTTCAGAGCCTGTGGAGCAGCCCTACAGAAGACAGACTGACTGGACTGGACTCAGCCAGACAGACACACTCCTCGCAGATAAACGGACTGACATCCACAACACTGCAGAAAGTATGTGTGTGTGATATATATAAGTTGATACAATACATACAATGGAAAGCAAGCAAGTACGTAAGTAAAGTACAGAAGTATGTGAGTGAGAGAGTTTGAACACTGTGCTTCCCTTAGATTTACTCTCCTGAATTGGTGGTTTGTGTATATATATATATTCACAGATACCTCTCTCTAACAAAAAAAAAAAAAAAAAAAAAAAAAAAAGGAAAAAAAAAGAAAAGAAAAAAGGATTGTTGCCATGCAATTATGTAGACTATAGGTGTGTAGATAAATTGATATATTTAGTAAGAGACAAAAAAAAAAGTGAAGAGGGGGAGGAGGGAAGGTAAATCTACAGATCGCTGATGGATTATGCTCTCTGGCTCATGACAAATCTTTTTCTTCATCTTTCTTTTCTTTCTTTTTTTTTTATATTTTTGTTGCCTCTTTCCGTGCCCTGGGCCGGAGAGTGCTCTGCAAAATGTTACCCTCAGAGTGATGAGAATGTTACGCTCCAGGAGGGGGGAAAAAAATACCCCCTTTCAACATTCAAAGGTTGATCATGAAATCTGACTGGTGTACTGAGGTGTAATGTAGGTCCAGCCAATTGTTGGTGGCTGCTTGACTTGGGAGCCAGCTAGAATTCAGTGTACTGGGATTATGCCTCCATAGTCAAGGAGAATATCAGATCGCTGCAATTAGTGACTGGCTTGGCCGAAATCAATATGACCTAGAACCTTATGCTCTGCTGCAGATGAACTGAACCCATGCTACCAAGAGGAGGCCACGCTTGAATCCAGTGGGTAAATATTCTGGAGCTCTTCGAATCATTTTGTATGCCGTTATTCATGTTGATCGGTGAGTCACAAGCCTGAATGCTATTCATGGTCTGCGTTGAACTGAGCAATACCTTCCTCTGCAACTTGAATGATATATAGAGTGAGATTGAATTACAATCCAGATTTTTAGACGTGGAAGTTGGCGTTTTCTGCAAGCTACTGTGGCAGGAGAGAGAGAGAGAGTTAGAGGGTGCACGCTTTGGCAAAGTTGTAGTCAAGGATTGGGGGCTGAAGTCAACAGGGGATGAGTTTCCATTGAGGCTGCTAAACTAAACCTCTTTTTTTTTTTTGTCTTTTTTTTTTTTCTTCTAGTGGCTCTTCAGATAATAACGAAGTGGCCTAGCCTGCTTCAAGAGCACATCAAGGAGCACATCAAGGCATTTTCGCATCTTTCATCTCGGTACTTCCGGAAACCCTCGTCTCGAGAGTCGCCCATATTATGCTCACTTCTAAAACTATGGTGGTGCATGCTGCGCTAGAGCTAATTTCCCCTAAGCTGCACAATAAAATATGACGTTACAGGACATAGAACAGTCTGAACTATATACTAGAATTGTCCATGCTCCGAAATAATGAGTGGTTCACTTCCCACATTTGGTCGCCACTCCCCGAAAATAGTAGACTGGAATGTGTGATGCACTTTACCCAGTTGCGCGGGCGCAAACTCAATTGACCGGGCTCCGAAGGTTGTAATATTAGCTCTTAGGCTTCTGAATGTGCGGAGTGCAACGAGCGACATTTAGGGTCCATAATTACAAAACCAACAATGCCACTGTACATAGAGTGCAAACGACCAAAGGGCTGGATATTCCTGGTGCAATTTGGGAATGATGCGACCTGTGGCAACAGTAATGATCTTCATCAAAAATATTAATTTGATTGTGGAACTCTCTATACAAGGCAGATAGCATCACTCAAGCTTCTGATGAGTGGCTCCGAATGTGAACCTTAGCTAAAAATATTGGGGCCCCATTGAAACCAGTCTGAAAAGATGGCCACGTATCCAGCCTAACTACACCCTCATAAATTCCGCTTACACCCTTTTCCAGTGTACTCACTTTGTCCATTAGCCTTTTCATAAAGAATGAAGACAGTTCTTCAGTGTATAGTTCCAGATGATCGATAAGCTTCAGTCGTCGACCTAGAGCTAATCGTGATATAAAATGTCAGCTCATAATTGGTTCTTTTTGTAAGTCGGAACGAAGTAATTTTTTACAAAACGAATCGGTGGCGTGGATGGAGATCTCATTGCGAGGAGAGGGTCGATGGAGTTGCTAAGGTTGAATGTCCACTCGCAACTGAATTGAGAATCCACCATAAGCTGCCATGCTCTTGCTCCTCACTCGAGGCCAGCTGGGCATAATCCGCCAAAACCTCCCTTCCAAATCATACACCCACCGCTCTCCAGTGGTTACAGAGACGAAGCACAAGCCTTGTTGCGAGTCGTCGGGTCCGACAAGGTCACAAACCTTAAAATGGTCCAGGAACTGCTTCGATGGACCGAGTGGTACCTCGTCCAAGGCCTTGGTCACTCGCAAACCTTTTCGATCGAGCTCGGAGATCTGCAGTCGCTCTGAGCCTTCATACTTGGCCTTCATTATCCGGCTGATCAGGAGAATGCGGCCCCGGTGCTGCACCAGGTGCACATTGCTGTGCATTCCAGGCAGGAACACGTGGTAGGAATCCCACAGCCCCGTGTCCATATCATAGACCGAGATGCCGGTTTTGCATTGGGTGGTGCACACCAGCTTGGAGCCGTCGCTTGTCATCACCGCCTGCGTCGGCGTGCGGTCATAGTATGGGAAGTTGTGTTGCGTAGGGACGTCTTTGCTCTTCGTCCATGACATATGCGCCGAGTTGTACATGTAGGTGGTGATCCTGTCGTAGTCTACCGCCACCACTCTATATTTCCGAGTGAAATTGTCCACCACCATCGCCACAAAATTTGGCAGATTGCGGCATGGGGTATTGTCTCCCCAGCTAGGAAGCAGCCTCCACGTGCGGCTTGCAGGGTTAGCGATGCCAATCACGACTTCGCGATTAGTTCTGTTGGCTTTGCCCTTGTAAGCCACGAAACAGACCAATCCTCCTCCCACAGATGTCACATAGAGATCCGCGAATGGCAGAAAGTCCAAAGACAAGTTGAACCAGGTCCGCGAGACTTGGCAGTAGAGTGAGGAGCTGCGGAGGTAATGGAGCTCTGGGCCTTTCTGGTAGAATGAGAAAGCGGAGAAAGCAGGCTCCGAGACTGTAAGCACGTAGGACTGGCACTGCGTTGAAGTGCAGCGCTGGGCATCGAGGAAACGCGGAGTCTGCACAAGAGAATTCCACTTCCTACAAACGGCTCGCATTTGCAGAAGGTTGGGGAGAGGCAGGTGCGTGAGGATGAGCTCCAAGAGGGACTCCGGCAGAGCACCCCACAGATCTGGGTCCATCCACACTTGGTTTCGTTTCAACTCAGTCGGGGTAGTATTCAGTGACAGATTCGTCAGGTTGATGTTTATCCCTGCAACCAAGAGAAAAATATAAATATGTATGTATGTATGTATGTATGTATGTTTAGCAACACTTTCACGGTCAGAGGATTACTACCAGAAAAATAAATAAAATAAAAATATCACTGGTTCTTTATCAAAACAATCAATGAAAATGCGCTTCACAAATCCTTGAGCGAGCACTTCCGAAGGCGAAACTAATGCAACAATTCTGCGTTCAATGAGATTCGAGACATTACCAGGCATTGTATCTCAGTTGGAATTTTGCACGATATGTGGAGGAGAGGCGAAGTGAGTGTATTGCACAATTGTGTGAGTGGTTCGGGAATTTTGGAAGTGCAGCGGTTTCAAAACAAGCTAAGGTCTAGCTCCAGGTATAGATCCGAATGCGCCAAATTCAAACTTTAGCTGGCTGCTTTCAAATTCACAAACAGAAAAAAAAAAAAACTCCGTAGAGCTCCCTCTGCCCAACTAGACACCACCACGAGAGTTGCAGAAATCGGTCCGCAAGCCACCCACACTTAATAAATGAATAAAAAGGGGAGAATTACCACTTGCATTCACACCTCTACTCTCACTTTCGACACCACTTTCAAACCTCTCCCAGAACTATTGCACTCAACAAGCCAACCTCGAACGCTATCGAGAGTCACCAAGCAACTCTTCCTCTAAAACTCTCCACAAACACACACAGACGCACCAATCAATCTATGCGTTTGCTTCCGAGCACTAGACTGTGTTTCTCCAATTAGTTAATATATCCCACTCAGCCTCGCAATCAGGTCCGATCACCGCTATTACAGAGTACCCAACAGCAGCAGCAGCGTCGTCGGGGGGGGGGGGGGGGGACTCAGCCCATGTGCAGCAATGGAGACGCGTTTCACGCAATCAATCAACGGTGGGTTGTGAGCTGTGGCGGCTAGACTCGTTCCGGACGAAGATCGGATTGAATGAATGCGAATGAGCAGCAGGCCGCAGAGCTGAGCTTATTTATAGTGCAGCGGAGCTTCTGATGTCACGAGAAAGAAAGACAGAAAGACAGACGGACAGACGGACAAAAGAGGCGATGCGTGAAGCACACGAGAGAGAGAGAAATGGAGGTTTCGCTTCGCTGCCGCTAAACTGGAGCCGTTTCTAACTAGAGAGAAACGAAGTTACTGAGTTAGTTAGTTAGAGAGAGAGAGAGAGAGAGGGAGAGAGGAGGGGAGGGGGCATTCTGACTCGGAATGGCCCCCCTCGTCGTCGCCATTGACTATGAGGCTGCACTGGCCTGGCCTGGGCTCCCAGCGAGTGTGTGGCAGCCCAGACCAGCCGCAGGTTGAATAGGGGCACGAGTTCCCATTGCAAGCCATCTGGGCCTCCTCCTTCCGTCCCTCGTCCCTCCGCATGCTTCGTCTTTCACTGCTTGACTCTTGCTTAGTTGGCAGGGCTGGTCAAATGCCTCCCCAACTCAGCAAGCAAGCATCCATCCCTCGCAACACTCTCTCACTCGCTCTCTCTGTTGAACTACTTCATCCATACTTTCATTCATGTTTTCATCCACCAATAAGTTCATTCGTATGTTCCCACAATCGATGTTCACATGTTGGACAGAAAATTGTGCATTATACTCTGTGTGGTGGATTATACATGATTGGGTGAAAACTAGACTTGTATTATGATTTGGTTAAGTGTGGATGATTTTATCAGTGTGTCGCTTCTTTTTAATTAGATAGTGAGTTTTCTTTTTCCTCTTTTTCCCTTTTACATTCTTGTTGATATCAATCATTACTAATGATACATTTTGAGTTGAATGCAATTTTCTATTAGACGTGCAGATACCCTGTTAATTTTAGTGATTTTTTTTTAAGTTTTTTTAATGTGTAAATAATTTCCCCCTGTGAACAAAAAGCCTGCTTGCTCCTTTTTCTTTTTCTTTTTCTTTCTTTATTCCAGCATGTGCAATAAGAATTTTACGTTTGCCACTAATGCCGACCCAAATGGGCCACCACCCCCAATATATATATATATTTTTTCAAAAAAAATTGAACATGAAAACAACATCGCTGCTCCCAAAAGACGTGCTGTGCATGCTGCCCGCTCTAAGGAAGGGCTCACCTATATATAGGAACTAAGCTGCCCTCCTTTTAGGGGAAAAAAACCAAAAAAACATAAAAGTAAGGGGGAAAAACAAAGTAGTGGTGGAGGTGGTGGTGGGTTCCATCCCTAATGATTTGCTCCATCATGAGGTGCCCCCAACAATGCGGTCTCCCAAAATCCCCATTATATATGTATATATATATATATATATATATATATATATAATTGAAACTTCAAAGTTGGAACTAAAAACGAAAAGAAAGAAAGAAGAAAGAAAGAAAGAAAGAAAGAAAGAAAGGTAAAGGAAAGCAAAGACTGCCCCTCCCCTTCCTTCACCTTTTTCCTCTTGAACCGACACCCCGAAAAGGCCCATTCCCATTCCCTCTCCACAGACAAGCATTCTTTCTTTGGACGATGAAAGGTGGAAATATATAGTTCATCCATATACTGACCGTTTCATCCATCTATCCGTCCGATCTCGAAAGTTACGCAGATCCCCAGAGTGAATCTCATTTTTAAATAACAAATCTGATAATGAGAAACTAGAATGATGTGGTGTTTCCTTTATTTAGACATCTCCATTGAGGACCGCTATCGAATTCCTAGACAAGACACACCAGATGCAATTACTATGGAGGTTAAGAAGCACAACGATTCATGCCATCCATTCTTCTAATTTCATATTATCCTCTTACTTTTACTTCCCTCTTTTACTTTACTGGCGGGTAGTGTGGTACAAACGGGAAAAGAAAAGTTCACAACACCTTTTTGATTTTTTGTTGCTCCCATGGAAAAGTCAAAGGAAGAGTGCCAGCTGGACCCATGGCTGCCCCCCAGCCAGGAGCTGTGTTTCATTATTAGTATCAATATAGTTTCTAATCATTGTTATTATTAGCATTATATAATGATCAAGCTCTAGCCAGTGGTCCCGGATGGGGGGGTTGGGAATAGAAGGAGGGGAACGAAGCTCTCTTGTTCCCGAGGAGAGGGGAACATACACACTAACTCACTCACTTAGTTAGTTAGTCTCCATGTGAGGTAGGTCATCATCCCTTCTCCCCATTCATTCATTCATTCATTCACCTTTTGAAAGTTCGTTATATGGGAAAGACTGAGGTTCCCAGCCCCCTCTCATGTGAGTTCCCATCCTTGGGGACCACACATTGCTTTGGAGGCCACTTCATTCAAAATTTGTACAATTTCCTCTTTAAAGTTACCTCCTAATTTTTAAAAAGCTTCACTTTAGGTTTAGTATTCTGATATTCAAAACAGATATAATTAATAATAATAATAATAATAATAATTTAATTCGTTGTTAATTCATTCAATTTACGGGATAAAACTTTGAATACTGGGTATTTTGTTTTTCTTTTTCCCAACGCCCCAATTAAAGCATTGTGTTTATTTTATTTTTTTCTAAATAGATTTTTTTTGGTATTTGATAAAGAACCACATTCGTCAACTTCTTGCATGCATGAATAGCTGTACTATGATTGAAATAATGCACTACATTTTGTAACTTACAAAATTAAAGATTTACAACAAATATAGTTATATTATTAAAAAATTACATAATAAACTAGACATGTATAAGTCCCTATAATAATAATAATAATATACATAATTTTATATATAATAATAATAATTACATAATTTAATGTCGTATTAAGTGTAATTTCCCAGAAGAAGGAAATCTTTAAAATACAACTATCAGAACATTTTATTTTTTATATTTTTCTCATCGAATAAATAGATATTTGTGTGTGTAAGTGCATTTATATATATATATATATATATATATATATATAGTTGCATGTTTGCAAAGAATCTTGTTTCCAACATAAATTGTAAAATATTTAGCCTTCAAGAAGAAAAAATGAGAAGAAGAATTGGCACGTGGTTTCAAACCAAGCCATATGGAATTTTTTTGGGGCTTCATTGCCTAATTTTAATTTTGTATCTTCCAAGGTAAGCCATTAATGGTTAGTAATAAGAGTGGGTCCCCCAAACCCTAAATGTAGGCATTAGGGCTGAGCAAAGCTTTTGAGCCTCCTCGTTTATGGCTCCTTGTTATGGGGAATTGTGGGGCAACTTTGTGCAAATGGAGTAAAAACCAATTTCCCCTTTCCCGTAAAAAAATAAAAACTATATATATATATATATATATATATATATTTAGTTTTACTATTGTTGTTGGTTATATTTTATATATTCTTTGGTTATGTTAGTAATTTACTTTCAGAAACTTTTTCTGACCAAAACTACCTTGGCAGTTTTAAAGTATGTTATTCTTGTTACATTTTGTATGATCACAAAACAAAAAGTAGAGGAGTTTTTTGACTGCATGTTTAAATTTAAAATCATACTTATAATATTATCCAATTATTTTAATTTAAAAATATAAAACTACACAAAAAAAAAATTAAAAATCAAGGATGCATCTCAAATAAAAAATTCAGCCCCCACACAAGTATTTTATCATTTTTTTAATCAAACATGTCTTTTATTAGAAAACTACTGTTTTAATATATATAAATACATATATACACGTAAGTAAATACATATCAAATTACACAGTATTCTTAACACAGAAAACAAAAATGAACCAATTTTTATCCATGACATCAACAACACTTGAATCTATAAATCTTGTAACAGAACTATTGTTTTTTGACAAATCATATTTAGAAAAACAATCAGTGTACATCAATGGGTTGATTTTGTTTCTTCGTTTCTATAAATGACTTCTAAATATTCACATTTCTTCTGATCTGATTTCAATTTGCATCATCCAGTAAATTGTTTGAAATCTTTAAGGGACATATTTTTTTTACATTCTTGAAGTGATGTTTATATATGTGTGTATGTATGTATATATATAAAATTTATATTCAAATATTTATTAATTATTGTCAAGTGATTTTTTTCAAGAATAATTTGGAGAGATTCTGAATTACAAGTATATTCAAATAATGCTTTTAGTATCTCTCAATCACATTTAAACCATACAATTAGTAGAGTCAATTATTACTTCTTTGTACTTAAAAGTATTTTTTTCATTAGGTCAGTAAACTTGATTAATGTTTCTACTCTAATAGTTTGGTTTTGTATTTTTGTATTTTTGTAATTTTTTTTTTAATTGAATAAATGTTTTAGATGAAATATAAGTTGTAATGTATTATTCACAAATCCTGTTTTGTACATGATAATTTTTTTTGGCATGTTAAGCTTTTCTAAGATAACCAAATTTTCTATATTCTTCTTTAAGTTTTATATGTTTAAAGTTTAATATAAGTTATGAAAATTTCTAGAATACTCAATTTTTCAAATGATTAAAAAAATCTATTATAATATTATATATATATATATATATATATTGTTGTTTTGAAAAAAAATATTACATAATAATTTTGTTAATATATATATATATATATATATATATATATATATATCTATTACTTGGACTTTTGGGATTACTAGAAAGCACATGATAAGACCTTATGAGACCAAATGTGGCACACAAAATGATCAAAAAAGAAAGCAAGGCACTATTTATTACTCAGTTGGGATCACACTACCTCCGGCCCAATATTATCTTAGCTTGTGGTGTTACTATGGGGGATCTACTAAGTATTGTACTAATTTGCTACTACCTTGTTATGCTTCCTTTGACCCTTAAATATCCTTCTACCTTATTGTATCATCATTAATTTTTGCAACCCTTATAATAACATCTTATCTCTTTTTTTACTATTTTTGTAACATCATGATCTTTAGATGTTTTGGCAAGTATCATCCATAGGTGGGTACAAAATCTTTGAATAGATATCCTTTGAGAAGGTAAACGTGAACATAATGTGGAAATAATTGATGTTCTTTATAA